ATTCCTTTCCTTTTTATCGGAAGCAATTGAATCGCAATGTTATCTTGAAGGCAAGTGGCACGATAAATCCCCAAGACCTGTAGGATTAGTACGTAGTGCGTATGGAGTAGAACAGAATTCAACGCCCCTGAGCAAGCGCTGCGTGGCGCGTTTCCCAACCAAGGGCACCGTTATGGCGTCTAATCGATTTACAACACGCCCACCGAAACGCCCACCGCAACCGCCCGCCCACAAGTGTGGGACCGATGCTGATGCTCGTATCGCTTCATTTGCGAAGTACAATATGAAGCGAAGGGATTGATATGAAGCGGCTGCGGTGCTGCATGGATATATGAGTACATACATGCAGCCGTATCTACCGTAGCGTTATTGGCACGATGCCAACGGGAACTCGTCCGACACTTTCTGAGCCGTGCAGAACAAAAGCCTTTTTGCAGGTTTTTGATCGTTTCACCTCGTTTTTTCGCGATTTCCCACTATTTAGCACCCTTGCTACTATTTAAGAACGGGTACAAAATTATCGTGCTGCCTTCTGCTGCCTTCAAAGGCACGTGGCAAGATAAATCACCAAAGCGTACAGGGTCGCTCAGCGCGAAAGAATGTTGTGCTCCTCAGCGGGCACTGCGTTCTGCCTTTTCCAAGGAAGGGCACCGTTATAGCGCCTAACCAAGGTGCAACATGCCGACCCAGACGCCCACCGCAACCTGCCCGCCCACAAATGGCCGTGCAGTCACATCGACGCTGGTACTCTTATCGCTTCCATTTATGAAGTACAATTGTTAGCGGCGTTGCTTCATAGAGATGAGAAAACATATGTGCAGCCGTAGAGGTCTGAAAAAGCGGTTGTTGGCTTGATGCCAATGGGAAACTCGTCCGAGGCTCGTCCCATGCCGTGCAGAACAATGGTTTTTGCAGTGTTTTGCCGTTCTGCTCGGCATTTTTCGTCATTCTTCCACTATCTGGCACTCGTTGTAGAGCGTTCCAAATTGCCATGTTTTTTGTCTTCAAGCGAAAACACCCCAAAAGCTGTGAAGTCTTAATCATCTGAAAGAGCATCTGAAGGAGTTCAGTGAATCCCTACCTCTACAACAAACGACAAAGGGCAAGACTGGGCGGACTGTGAAGTCTTCACAGTCCGCCCAGATCTGAATGTCCAAATAAGAAGTGACGCTAATTGTGATTCAAGGGTCTGTTTGGTAACGCACTGACGATCAAGAACGGAATCTGCCGTTTCCATGAAACCCAGGACAGTTCTCTTGTAAAATTGCGAGAGGTAAGCAGAGCTGTCATTTGCAGAGATTGTTCTATTTCTTTTACAGACAAATCCTCTTCTTACTAATAGATTCTTCCTATGAGTTCAAGGTGAACACTTACTACAACGGACTGATGGGTTACCTTGGTTGTGAAGATATCGACTACCAAGGTTTCATAACGTTCATGCAGGATAATTAGGGTGATGCAAGGAGAGTAAGTATATGCTGTTTTGATTTGATAACTGTGTTTTACGCGCCATACGCCTTGCGAAGTTATCAAAGATGCTGAGTTGTGGCAAAAGTCGTGCCCAGGCGGGAGTCGAACCCCCGCTTTCCGGGCGAGTGCGCTATCCGTTACGCCACCAGGGCCGCTTTTACCCTCTCAGCTTAACGGCTTTTATGCCGTAGCCTATCAGCACTCACACGTTTAACTTGTGAATGGCCCTGGGGCGTAACGGATAGCGCTCGCCGGTACGTGAGGTGCGGGTTCGACTCCCGCATGGGGCCGACTTTTGCACAACTCAGATTTTGTAGTAAGTTAGTAGTACACTCTCTGCTTTTCTCATGCAACATTAATGTGTGTTCCTTAATCTGAAAACTTGTAAGTTAGCGCATGGGTGTGGAACCTGCAAGAGTTCGGGTTCTTAATAGTCACTGATTCAAACATGACTGGGCATTCTTCGGAGGAAAGGCTCTTCCAGTAAGTAAGCTCCTTTTTATTTATTAATGGACAGGCGAACAAAGAAATGCTGATATTTTCAGTAATTATTCGAGGATATACGTATTAGAGAGACTCTCAGTTTAAGGCAGGCGATCAGGTATCGAAGTTGAAAATATGGCGTCAGGAGGTTAGAGTGGTCCGCGACGAACAACCTTGTACCGGTTTCGCGGCAAAAAATTCTATGGGAGGGGCGCTGTAGCGCAATATAGGTTCAGTGGCTCTCCTTTTTTGATTGTGACTCCGCTCAGACTCCGCCCAATGACCCGCTATTAGTGGAAGATGAGATTGCAGGACGAAAAAGCATAGATAGCCCCACGAGTCGTGGAATCTTATCGTTAATTCAGACGTGCATATGAGGGCGTAGTTCTAGAGAGTTGATTGGGCACGTTCAAACTGCTATCGAAATGGGTTCCATCTAGGCAGGTGGCGTGTTTTTTCTGCCTTTTTTTTTGTTCACAGTCGAGGTACTCAAGCCCTTGTCGTCTATATGGAACCCCTAATCCACCACCTGAGATGGCGAGTAATCGCGGTTCTTCCGTTAAGATGAATTTGCCAATAGGCAGGGTCCGCGACAGGGCACAGGCAGTTCGAGTGCGCGATTTTTGGTCGAAGCCTCTACGACCCCCCTTTTTTTGGGGGGTTCGGTACGACCCCCCCCCCTTTTTTTGCCGTTCGGTTTTTTTTCGCCTTAAATGAAACTATGAAACGCCCACTATGAAATTCTACTTGTATGAAGGTGCCCATACTAAATGGACGACTTGAAGTCATGACATAATAGAACAATACAGAGATGATTGCAAACAAAAAACGGTACAATCGTATTATGAGAAACTCGTATGATGAACTTCTTCGATGGCCGTTTTGAAACACACATGGTAATAATAACAATATATCGCGATTAAATTCAATGAGCATTCGTTAACCTGACGTGAACTCCCTCTCTGGGAAGCGGCCATAAGCGACCACACAGTGTTAACAACGCTTACTTCAAGATTTGAGACGACGGAAAAGAGAAGATTAGGTCTTGTTCATACGTACTACCGATTATAACAAACCGCCGTAAAATGCATTACCCCGATTATGTGGAGTACGGTAGCAGAATGCGCATGTAATTGCAGCTGTGACTGGAGATTATTCGGCAATTTTAGCCATGGAGCGAGAATTTCCAGCTGAGGTCGGTGACACCCAATCGGTGGGTGTCTTTGAAGGACCATAACTTCCTCAAAAGCGGACCTGTGGGGAAGAGGAGACCGTACTCGTGTAGAGGAAGGTTTGCACTTCCTAAAAGTACTAAAACGTTTATGAACGTCGCAAAAATCACAGAGAAATCTGCCATAGGGATTCGTTGGGGAGTGATTTCAACCGAACAGGTTTGAATCAATATATTTTTTTTGTAACTCAACATTTCACAAATCTGAGAATGGTTTCGAGTGTTTGAAGATTTTCTCTTTCTAAAAACCTCTTGAACTGTTTCTGAAGCTCTCGGGATTCATGAGATCTCGCTATGGGGATTTCTTGAGGAACACTCCCAGCTGCGCGAAAAACCCGTTTCCTGTGTACCGTTCCGTGTTCGAATAGCCAGGAACGCATGTAGAACGTATCCTGTGGTGGAGCAGGAGCAGGATATGGTTCGTTTAGCGCCGATCACGCCAACTTTGGATGCGCCGCGCACTGAGGGCCGCGCAGAGGTGATGGGATGGTGCAACTTGTGCGTAATGTCTGTTCACGCGAGCAAATGTGTCTATAAGGTTCAGGGAGGTCCATGGCGAGCCTGTGCACTTGTTTACAGTGTTTTCCGTTGCGTATGATGGAACATGTCCCTGTCAACGCTGCCAGATTCGTGCTCCGCCAATCGCTGACTCCGATAAAGGAGACCAACTGCTGGAAAACGTCTGATATGAACGATATGGTAGTCCTGTCGCTTGTCGAGAAAAAACAGGTTGGCTCAGCGCCAAGCGCGACCGCGGACACGCCATATCATTGGCAGCGAACCAGAGTTTGAGTTGTACTAGTCACCAACGGACTTACGAGATAATGTCGACTTATTAATATTTGCAGTTATTTCGGATTAGTTTGATGAATGAAAGTTTTGTACTATTTTTTTGCATATCCGAGTTCTCTACAAGTTTCGTTGTACAGGACTCAGCACATTGACAATTTGCGCTGCTCGTTACTGGCTGCCGCACTCACTACGACCCCCCCTCTCCTGGCGGCCAAATACGACCCCCTGTTGGGGATTCCCCAACCAACGATGTGCCCTGGTCCGCGATCAGTATCGAAGTTGAAAATATGGCGTCAGGAGGTTAGAGTGGTCCGCGACGAACAACCTTGTACCGGTTTCGCGGCAAAAAATTCTATGGGAGGGGCGCTGTAGCGCAATATAGGTTCAGTGGCTCCTCCTTTTTCCAGTGACTCCGCCTCCAGACTCCGCCCCTAATGACCGACTTCCAGTGAAAAATGAGATTGCAGGACGAAAAAGCATGATAATCGCCACTTGTACGATCGTAGAAATCTTATCGGTGAATCAGCCGTGCATATGAGGGCGTAGTTTTGGAGATAGAGTTGATTGGGCACGTACAAACTGGGATCGAAATGGGGTTCATCTAGGCAGGTGGCATGTTTTTTCTGCCTTTTTTTGTTACTTCAAGCGCCTTGTCGTCTATATGGAACCCCCTAATCCACCACCTGAGATGGCGAGTAATCGCGGGTTCTTCCTTTAAATGAATTTGCACAAGGAAATAGTGAAAATGCAAACTGCCCTCTTTGAGTGGGCAGCGGCTAAATCTGATACCATACCGATCTCAAAGGTGCGGCTTGTGTGGACAGGATCTGAGCAAGTATTGGACTACCATGCGCAGCTTTCTTTTGAAGGCAGTTGGCACCATAAATCTCTAAGACGATTAGGATTAATACGCCTGGCAGGAGGGAATTCCGCAACCCTGAGCGAGGTCGCGTAGCACATTTTCTGAGGAAATCACCAGTATAAGGGCCCTATCAAGCTACAACATACCGACGCCCACCGCGCCCGCCCGCCCACAAATGGACGACCGTACCTGATGCTCGTATTGCTTCATTTGCGAAGTAAAATATGAAGCGAAGGGATTGGTATGAAGCGGCTGCGGTGCTGCATGGATATATGAGTACATACGTGCATGCACCTACCGTAGCGGTTATTGGCAAGATGCCTACGGAGAAACTCGTCCGAAATTGCTTTTCGAGTCATTAAAAAGAAGGCTTTTCTTCGCAGGTTTTTGACCGTTTCACTTCGTTTTTTCGCCATTTTCCCCACTATATGGCGCCCTGCTAGCATTTCAGGCCGAGTACCAAATTATCGTGCCAACTGCCTTTAATCAAACATATTCTTGAAAATGACAGACGTGCAGAGGTCGGGTATTATGAGAAACAGTAACCACTCGGATGGAAGGGAACAGTGCATGCTGACCATTGTGGAATCCCCAGCGAAGAACGTGTTCGATCCGGAGGAGGGAGAGAGGTATATGGCGTGAGAACTTTTTTGCTTGTTGATTCTTCCAGTGTCACGCAAAGGGCCACACAGCCACTGTTTTCGATTGTTGAAAACAGAAGTGTTTGGCTTCGAACCCCCCCCCTCTTGTTCGCGATAGTATTTATGGGAATGCGAGAGGGGGAAAATACTGGAAAAAAAAGCGTTTGGAAGTAGGGAAAAGGTACAAGCTAGAAAAGAGAAAGGTGAAGGAGAGGGTCGAATTTTCCGGAAATTAGCCCAATAAGCGGCAGGAAGGCCTTGATAGTCCCTTAATCGTTTGGAGCAACGTTTATTTGTTATTACAGCCACAGAAGCATATCAGTTAAAAAAACGTGATTCTTTGTAGGTTCTACATCGATGAATGCACCAACATCTATGGAAGCAACTACAACTCAGCTTCAGTGGCAGCAGCTGTAGCGAATGTGAACGCCTACTACGGAGGACGAGATCATATGGATGTGAGCGCTACTGTGTCCTGCCAAGAATTCCCGTACTGTAGACCACTGAGCTTCTATATGTTTCCTTTCAGTCGTCCTATATCATCCTACCCAATGGAAACATTGACCCATGGCATGCACTTGGCAAATTGAACAGCACTACTTCCACGATTATCCCAGTAGTGATTGACGGTACGAGACGTGGGCGTGTCTTGGCTAACAACTGAAGGCCACACGAAGCAACACGAGCTGCGTAGTTCGTTCATGATCCAGTTTCTACTTTCAGGAACTGCTCATTGTGCCGACATGTACGCGCCATCTCTCAGTGATCCTGCATCAATGACGGCCGCCCGGAAATTCATCTCGACTCAAATTCAGCAATGGCTTCAAGCCATAAACTGATCTTCAATTTTTAAAAAATAAATTCTATATATCGCTCTGGTCACAAAGTTACCACTTCTTGACCCTATTTTCTAAAGGTTCATTCACTTCAATCTCCACTTAACTTTTCCCTCTTATGAAGAGAGATCGTTATTTTCTTTGACGACGTGGGTAATGACATTTCAAAAGAGAAGGAGAAGTTGATGGCTTGCTTCTCGCAGCGTGGGCGTGGACTCTTCCGGTTTTCAAAGCGAAGCAAACACTGGAATATGTTCAGTGCGTGGGTAAAGGTATTTTCTCACAGCACAGTGATCACTTCGTACGTTGGGGAATCCCCGCGGAGGTGGGGGGGGGGCTTATTTGGTCGCCGGGAGAAGGAAGGGGTGTACTTGCCTTTGAAAGAAATTTGCGATATTGGAAAATTTTCCCTGTTATTGACTTTTTGCGGTTTTTCCGCTCATCATCTGCTCATTCTCCTCCCCCCACGCTCCACAGCAAAATTCTAGTGAAAAATTAGAAAATTTTCGGGAAATTCCGGAAAAACTGGCAAGAAGTTGGGAACAACTAGGAAAGTGGTAGAGAGCATCAGCTACGATTGTCCATTCGTGGGCGGGCGGGCGCGGGGGCCTTATAAGGGTACCTCCCTCGGGAAAGGCGCTACGCAGCGCCTGCTCAGGGTCGCGGAATTCCGTCTAGCCAGGCGTATTAATCCTACTCGTCTTGGGGGATTTATCGTCGCCAACTGCTTTTAAGTGATCATTTTTTTTCAAAGCTCCCTCAGCAGAACGTCTGCAAGAAATGCTGTTTAGTCTTCGATCTTCATTGTATCTTTCATATTCAACCGCTGATACTCAAGAATTCATCGTTGAGACCTGGAGACCTCATTTCACACGCATCATATTTCTGTTCTTTCGAGTGACGCGAAGGTCCACAACTTCCCGAAAATGCTTTTGTGGCCGTTCATCCTTCTGATCCAATCAGGTGCTTTATTTTACAAAATGCTCCTATTCTTTCAAATTTACCATTCTAAGGAAACCATAAGAAGCAGGGTAAATTCTTGAGTATCTTGAAAAAAATAGCGAAATGCAACTTCAGCTGTACTTCGCATTCCGAAGAACAAAACTTATTACAACTTCTCCTACCCCCAACCCCTCTTCACTCGGTCGAGCAGAGAAAAAGTGCACTCACTGTTCCTCTATAAAAGCCAGTCCTTCTGAGAATTTTCTCAACTGGCGATCAACGCGACCATCTCCTACTCCTTTGAGGAGTTTCCAAGCCACAGGGTCCTCTGATTCTAAAGGTTCTCGCTCATAGTTTCGTTTGAGTCTGTGGCAAGCACCTCTTCCTGTGAGGAGTTGGAAATGCGATCGAAAGAACTGAAGTCGTCTCCTCTATCGAACGCTATGACGTCCAGGTGGGTTGCGTGGCCCGTAATCTGGCGCCACACAATCTACGTGGACGCCAACTCGGCACCACCACTTTTTCACAGAAGTTCAAATGAACTTGTATACTAGGGGGCGTCCTGATCACGGGTATCACCAACATTTCTAGCGCACGTCTCAACGTAGGGCACCCAGGTCGTCTGCGCTCTACCAGGAGTGAGCTCGGAGGGGACGACGGCAATGTCGTGGTATCAGGTCGAGGTCGGCACTATTCTGGCAGCAAGTGGCGCGGGTACCAGGAAGGATCACAATATTCGTAATCAGGACACGAAATAACTAGAAATAAAAATTTATATAGACTCAACAAGATGTACCGTCGGGGTACATCGAGGCTCCGCGCTCTCCACTTCTTTTCGTTGCCGTCATGGATGCCATCTCACGAGATCTTCAGAAGGAAGTGCCTTGGACCCTGCTTTACGCTGATGATGTGATGCTTGCTTGTGAAGATAAGAGCGCACTGGAACAGCAGGTGCAAGCTTGGGCGATCGCCTGGCGAAGTTTGGGCTCAGGTTGAACGTCAACAAGACCGAGTACCTGACAACCGACCCAAATGAGCCGGGCTCCATTAAGATCGATGACACGGTGCTCAAGCGCACGGAAACATTCAAGTATCTCGGATCAGCACTTGCGTCCGATGGCAGTCTGAACTCGGAAGTGAGCGCACGAGTGAGTGCGGCGTGGTCTAAATGGCGATCCATGTCTGGGATCCTTTGCGACAAGAAAATGCCAGAGCGTTTCAAGTCAAAGATCTATCGTACTGTCGTCCGACCTGTCGCGTTATATGGTGCCGAGTGCTGGCCCGCGACCAAAGAAGTTGAGGCTCGCCTTGGTGTGATGGAGATGAAGATGTTGCGCTGGACGGCGGGCGTCACGCGATCGGACCGCATTTGTAACGATGTCGTGCGCAAGAAGTATGGTGTAGCCCCCATAGCAGAGAAAATGCGTGAAACGCGCCTTCGATGGTACGGGCACGTACTTCGCGCGAAGGCTGACACCGTAAAACTGCTCTCGAACTCGAGGTACCAGGAAAGCGGCCAAAGGGGCGTCCCAAACAGCGCTGGCTCGACACGCTGCATACCGACTTGAAAATAGCCGGCATTCACCCCGATCAGGCATTCAATCGGGAAAAGTGGCGTAGTTATATCAAAAGAGCGGACCCGCCATCGAGCGGGACAAACGCTGAAGAAGAAGAAGAAAAGTTTATATCGACTTCTTTGCAAATATGGTGGCGCCACATGGCGGCGGGGCTCACGGCGAGTACCATATTCGTGACTAAAGCGCTAGACAAGCCCTAGCCCCGAAGTTTCGGCAAAACTTTTCTTGAATTTGAGATAACAGGAAGTTGAATAGTTACTGCGAAGCTTTGTAATGAGTGTGGGTAGCCTTCAAATCGGTTGGTAAGAAGAGGCGTCCCGACAACTGCTGCATGTTCTAGTACCAACTCCCTTGTCTTGTACTGCGTCTCTGCCTCTCTTTCATCTGGACCCTCACGGCCATCGCTGCTCTCGCACTTCGTCCCAGGTGGCTCGATACGAACTGAAGATGGAATTCCCCACTCGTAGTTGTTAATGGAAAACCCAAATGTCATGAAGATGGAGGTAAAATGGACCGGCGAAGTAAAATGGACTCCCTTGTGTGTTACTGATGGAGAGAGAAGAGAGCACCGTCGGCAAAAGCAACCGTTGCACAAAAGTGTGCTGAATACGCAGCATAGGGCAACCGCTGACGCCCTCAAACCCAGCTCCCCCTTCCCCTGCAAAACGCCAGCGTCTGAAGACTGTAGAAAACGTTTTTCGTTCTACTATCAGCCAAATTTGCATCATCACTGAACTGGCACGTTCAGTGGTGATGGAATTTAGTATCCGGTCTGTACGAAATTGAAAAAAAGAAAAATTAAAAAACGAGTCTAAATAATTTCCAATTTCTCACAAGGTCTTTGTTCTCCGTGTCACTCAACCTATAAATGCTTTTAGGCCTGAGAGCCGAATCTCAGGTTTCGGTGCTGATACGTCACTTGCTGGAGAATGGTTACAACGCGAACGATCGTCCAGTGTTGAACGAGAACGAAACACTCAATTTGTCGATCAGTGCCAACGGGCTCAGCTTGTTGCGAATGGTTCTCTTTAAACAGCAATCGAGAGGCAGGATACAGCATTGTCATGAGAATCCCATTATGGGTCGCACTTAGTGGATGGCGAAAGGGAACACTGGACAGAAACTTTTCCGTGCAACAAGGGGATTTTTTTCGCTCACGAGTGTTTCCCGCTCCACGTGAATTCTCAAAGTTGGCTGGGTAAACTGTTTTGTTCTGTAGTATTTTGATTCCCCGATAGTCGGGAGGGGAACGGGTCCCTCACTCATGCCCGATGCCTGTTCTATCTGAAAAATCTAGTAATAAGTAGGCACCTTGTGACGGGGGAGGGGTTGTACTGAAAGAGGACGTTGGGAAGAGGGAGAGCTTGTACCCTCGGAGGCTAGCACCACCGCGATTGCAACGCTGGTGGAACTGAGCGGCGCCAAACGCATTTCCCCTTGCAAAGAGATTGCTATTGCTTGCTTGTTTCCAAGAAAGGCCCTCTGAAAAGCAAAACTACCAGTGACCTCAGAATTCGATCCGCTGTTGCTCCGAGATTTACTGAAGGAAACTGCAACCGCTATTACATTCATCGCGATGCTGTACCCTCCTGAGAAGCTCACACCCCTCTGTTTACTATGAACACTTTAGGACCAAGCAGAAGAGACCGCCACATTCTCCGCGGAATTCATTCTCCAGTGGAACGATGCCTTCCTCAAATGGGATCCTGATGAGCACGGTGGCCAAACAAGGGTGAAAATCAAGGAAGTGGAGGTATGGCGACCAGATGTAACCGTCGCGACCAGGTATGCTCAAAATCCCTGAGATGTGGTAGGCGTGGCTGCGTACTTCAACCGAACGTGGCGGTGGCTGTGCTTCTGGAGAGATATTTTATTTTGAGACAATTGTGGTCATGTCTTTGTCAATCACAGAACAAAGTGACAGTTGACTCAATGCTGAAATATCCCACTAGCAACCGATTCTAGGCCATGTTCAAATGCCACGCCTACTCCGTCTCAGGGATAAGGACTCTC